CTGCAAGAGGTAAGTTTTCAAACTTCTATCTCTTCATACATGCATCATTTGATTTTGATTTGTGAAGATAAAATATAGATATCATTGCCACGAAGTTGTACATATCCATAGTTTGCATTTATATGGCCTGAGTTTATAGAATTTTAGAGTGGAGTTTTCTGAAATTTTTAGGTTTTGAATTAGGGCCAGAAAAATTCCCATTCATCTTTGACTGTTAGCTTAAGTTATTTACATGGTTAGATTCGTGGGAAGAAATGCCACAACTTTCATGTTTGAACTTTTCATTTTTGTTGAGAGATGAAGAAGATACAGGTCATTTGGCTGGAGGTTGAAGATGAAGTGTAATCAGGGCGCATTTTGTGTTATGTATTTATCCTTTCACACAAGTTAACGGATGTATCACCATCCCAGTGGTTAAAGCACGCGCCTGTCACCCTTAGGTCTTGGGTTCAAGTCTCAACGTGACCTTTTGTTATTTTTTACTATTTTTTTACATTTCTGAGCTTCTTTTGCAGCGCCAAGGCCTTTGTGCTGGGCCTCCCATTTTTGCTGACTCCTAACCTTGATTTACTTCAGCACCCCCTGGCCCATTCCTTTTAATTATTTCATTTTTCCTGTTTTTTTATCATATTTTATTTAATATTTTATTTATTTATTATTATTAGCATTATTATTATTTTTATTAATAAAAAATTTAAATAAAAATATTTTTATTTATTAGTCATACTTATATATTTATTTTCTCTATAAAACAAAAAGATTAAAAAAACATTTTCTTAAACAAATTAATTTCTTTTTCTTAAGTATATAATTTTTAGACTTAGGTTAAATTAATATTCTATTTTATTTTCTTAGTTAAAATTAATTTAGAACTTAGGTTATTTTAATTAATTAATCTTCATTTTATTTTCATTAATTTAAAACCTTTTCATAAAAAACCCTAAAAGTCCTTTTCAAATTAATTTATTTTCTTAATTAGTTTAATTTAATTTTAATTAATCATTTTCTTTAATTAGGTCAAGACAAAACCCCTTTCATAAAATAAAAAAAAAATCATTTCTTTTTCCAATTATGTTCTTGCATTTTATTTTCAATTTTATACAATATTCAATATGGTTGTAATAGATAATTAGGTTTAATTTTCTTGCAATCCCCATTTGTAAATTTGTACACCCCCTCCCCTAATGATGTAATAGCGTAGTAATTTTACTTTTCGCAATTTATCGATTTATAAATACTAGTAATTAGGGTTTGTATGAGAAGATATAATCAACAAGTAGCAAACCCTAATCAAAGACTAAACAAAACATGAAAACCAATACACTTGCACACAAGCACCCCTAGGGTAAAATCCACTTGGTTGCCTAATAAAAATGGCCATATTATGCATGTGAGGTATCTTAGCAAAAACAAGCAAAAATACAAGATCATAGTCCCTCGATGACGCTATCTATGTTGCCTTTTCAAAATGATCTTAGTCCCTAAAGAAAGATGCTAAGATACCTTGCAACATTGCTAATCATGGTTATACGATGACCCACGTCCGTCCCGTTTACATCCAAATATATGGTTACTTACCAAATCAATGGTAAGATAACAATGTCAAAGAAAAGAGGAAATAAACATGAAAGACTTTTGAGTAGATAGAATGTTCCTAGTTACTTTCTCACTTTCAAAACAAAACATCCTTGCTATTTTCAAAACAAACACCAACACTTTCAAAAAAACATCTTTCAAACTTGAAATATTTTCAAAAGATCAACATCTTTGTATACATTCTTATGAACGAGAATCATTACAAAGTTTGTTTAAACAATGACCTCTTTACAAAATACTTTCAAGAACCACACAAAGCATAATTTCAAACAAAAGCAAGTGATCTAGCAAGTAACTAAGAGCCCATGGAAAACCATGGAAGAAAAGGGTGCTAATACCTTCCCTTTTCATAATCTACCCCCCGAACTCAAAAAAACATCTCTAAAGGTATTTCCTGTTCTTTTCAACCTTTCCTTATTAGATAAAAGAAAAGTCAGTGGCGACTCTTGCTAACCGCAACATTTACGATAAAACGCAAAACAACCAAGTTAGTTCCCCCACTGTATCACACACCGCTACACAATCATTATGGGAAATCCTAACAGGAGATCATAAGTGATCAGATTTTGTTAGTCAATGGTTGTTATATTCATTAAATTGGATCATTGAACATATCATTGAAAGGTGCCTTGAGTGGCTGAGTGAAGGTTTGATCTCAAGAAGATAGTGGTTGCGATCATTGTGGGAAATTCTGATAGGAGATCTTAAGTGGTCAGATTCTATTGGGTCAATGAATGTTATATTTGTTAAATCAGATCATTAAATGTGTCATTGTTTATTAGTCACTGGCGGTTTCCCGTACAAGTGTAATCAGTTTGGTTACAGTGGATTAATTTCTTATTGAGGGTGAAATCATCCTTGAGGGGGTGGACATGATTAACCTTGTTAAGGTGAACCTGGATAAATCTTTTGTGTCCTTTACTCTTCAATGTCTTATAATTTTAATCATTTGAGTAACCATAATTTCTAAAGGGGGGTGTTTTATATAAATCCAATTCAAACCTCATATTTCTTGTGTTTTCTCTACCTTCACCATGCTCTTGTTATGTATCACGGGAAAACGTTTAAACTCGTGTTTTTTTAAGAGATGTTTGATATACTCTCTTTTATTTTATGTTGTATTGAGATTATGTGATAAGTGACCTTTAGTGCCTAATGTTTTAATACATTATTCCTATTTATGAGATTCAATTATTGATATCATTTTGAAAATATAACTATTTCACTATGATATACATATGCATTAGTATATGGAACATGATTTTTAATGTGTGTTATGAGCATGACCAGTGTATTTGTGTTGGTTTTGAAATACATGTGACACCCTCTTTTGATATACATGATAATTTTACTCTGATTATACTATATTATTGCGCGGGGGTTTAGGGGGTGTTACAGTAGTCTCTTGAATGCTAATCCCAAGGTCAGGGGTTCAACCCATAGGGCCAACAAAGCTATCTTTTTAACACTTGTTTTTTTAGTTGTTTTTACCATTTTATCTCAATTATTTCAATATGAAAATTAACTCCTTTTGAGTTGATTTTTTACACACTCCTTATTTATTCCCCCTATTTTGTGAATATATAAAAAATTACCCAAAATAATATTTATTTTATCTATTTTCATTTAGTTTAAAACTAACCCTTTTTGCATGTTTTTCTAAAGACTTTTGTGATATTCTTTTGATTGATTCCTTTGCCTAACTGATCATTTGTGTTTATATTACTATAGTATGCTTTGATTGAGTTTCATTTGAGGTTGATGACTTGATTAACTTGATTTCCACCTAGGGTTAGTGCACTTTAATGGATGAATTTTGTGTGTTTTATACCTAAAAACCATAATATGCTCCATGGCCCTCTCCTTTGATTTTGATGAATGTGTTGTAACTGGTTTAATATATAGAGTCGCCACCCTTAATTTTTATCCTAAGGAAGGGAATATAAAGGTTTACCCTAAATAAGTCAGAGATTCTAGATTGTTGGACTCGTTCTTAGACGAAGGGAAGGTGTTAGGCACTCCTCATCTACCTTGTTCACAAGGATACTAGGGTTAGAAGCATGACATTTAAGAAAAAGGATTTTAGTTTTTTATTAGGTGAACTCGCCACAATTTTAGTCATATGGCTATGTATCCTCTTAAGAGGAATCAGAGTCTCAATTCGTAGTTCGCAATGTTTGGTTAGTTTTTTTATAAGATTGCGTATAATAGATTTTGAATTATCCTTGAACCTTATTTGGGTTTGAAAAATGAGTGATCGTAGACGCAATTCGTAGTTAATTTTGGTAGCAATTCTCCTTAATCCTTTTTCGAAAATGTTCTTGAATTTTATTATGTTAGCTAAAAATATGTTTGATTTGTTGGTTAGCTGATTTGAATTTTGATTTGATTAAAGAGTATGGTGGAACATGAGTAGAGGAAGTCTGATAAAGTCTTTCTCCTCATGTGGTCAGATGTTGGCTACATGTTTTTCGCCATGAAAGATGCAGAGGGAGTCTGATATAGTCTTCCTCGTCACGTGGCTAAATATTGGCTACGTGTCTTCCATCGGTGAATCACATGGTTTTTATGATCTTTGTAAAAATATAAAAAGAGAGTTTGGTTTATGTACAAATACATGAATTATTTTTGTTATTTTATATTTTTAATAAACCATAATTAACTATCCTAATAACCTAGAGTAATATTTTTTAGAAAATAGATAGATAAATTAAATTAATTATATGTATTATCTAAATAAGTGGATTAAAATGAATAATTAGAATGCATTTGAAATAAACTAAATAAGCATAATGGATGCAAATAGTGAATGAGAATAATGATTAGATACTGATTAGGCCCAAAGAAACAAAAGTCTAATTAACCTAATAGAACCCTAACTTTAATATTACAATTAAGAAAATAGAAACAAATAATAAAACATATTGAAAAAGAAAAAAAAAAGACCCTTTGGGCGGAGTCCCCACCGTCAGCATCAATTTTTATCACTTTTGGAATTATCAAAATTTGAATGGGACCAACATAAACATAATACATGACACATATTTATTGGAAAAAAATAAATAGAAAATAACTTTAGGAATGGTAATATAACACCCTCAGAAACGTAGAAGAGAGCAACAAAAAAAAAATCCTCTCTTTATCTCAACCCATTCCTCCATGGCCATTTCTCTTTCTCAATCTTAAACTCAAATAAATCAAACAATAATCAGTATAAAAGCTGATGTACTAACCTCCGAAATTTGGTGGTGGAGACGCGGTTGGGGATCGGCAAATTTGTCACCGTCAGTCGCTTTACAGCATAGATCCAAAAGGCATGGCCAACTGCGTGAGAGTGGTTTCATGTTGCATCTTTGTGGTTGATACGGCACGGTGGTTTCGACGGTCATAGGGCGTGGTTTCCAATGTGGTCTTACGGTGATAATAGTCGTGGTGGAGGCGTGCCGACGATCTCGACTGAAGCGTGGGCTAGTGCTGTTGGAGCTTGTCAGATCTGGTGCGAAGACACGACTGAGCTTCGAAGCTTTCCGGCGGTATTGATGGAGTCCGCAGTCATGGTGCGTGAGGATGGTTCGTCGGGAACGTTCCAGTTACCGATCAAAGTCCCTCTGTCGCTTCTTTTCCTTCTGTTTGGTTTTGACTTGGTTATGTTGTTGAGTTGATTTGGGAAATGTGGTGTTGTTTGAATTTGCAGGTCTGATGAATTGTGTTGTTCATGAGCTTGCTTTTAGTGTGAGATCTTTGAGAAATATATGATTAGTGTCGTTGAAATTTGATGTGACGATGAATATGTATAAATAAGGTATGAGAATGAAGATTTCATGGCGGTTGGTATGGTGCTTTCATGGTGGTTAAGGTTGGATGATGAAAGGGTTTTTCACGTAAAAAATAGTAGCTTGTATGAATACAAGGGTTTGACTAAAAACAAAACGTTAACTTGAGGGAAATATGGCTATAAGATAGGTACAAGACCGTGTGTTAGTGTGTAAAAAATATGCCCCATTTGAAAAGTAATCCTAACGTGATCTACGTGCAAGTTCTTGAAATTGAAATTGATTATTGAAAAGAAATGGATGATTAGAGATGAAGAAGTGGCAACATGATTTATTGATAATTTAACAAACATTAAGAGTCAGTTTAATACAAATCTTATTGAGTATGCTTTCATAGTGAACCTAGCTTCAATTAGGATTTTTGAAGGTTGTAACGTGACCTGGTTCACGGAAATGATCTGAAATATATCATTGTATTTTTAAATAGGTTTGGAAGTGAACATTTTATAAAAATCAAAGAATATTATAAAGCCAATGTTGAAAATATTTTTTATTGTAGAAATAAGAGCGGACAAATTTTGGGGTATGACAGAATATAACTTGTCTAAAGTTTGTTTCTTAATTGATCAATGAACACTTAATTCATATTTGCTTTGAGTTTGACCATGTCTTGATCATATATACATATGTGATCCTTAATTTTGATAACATGATTTAATTTTCATATGCTTGCCATGCTTGATTTTCTCCTTCATATTTGTTCATATTCTATAAGTTTGCTTATCTTTAAGGATTTATTTCCTTCATAAACTCTTTTAACCATAAGCCATAACATGTATGATTGATCTTTTCACCAAAGTGTGCTTTCATCTTCCATCCTTGTGTCACGACTTTTACTTAGTAAGCATTTTAACTTTTTTGGTTTGAGTTCATTCAATTGTTTGTTCATTGCTTATGTGACTCACATGCTATCTTAGGCTCACTTGATTCATCTTAATCCTTGATAAAGACTTTAACCAAGATAGACATTAAGACTTTAATTAAGCATGACAATATTAGCATAGAAGTTCTCCATTTCAATCCTAACTCTAAGTCTATCATGGTATGATAATATTAGGTTAGATTCCTTTCAATCTCAACCTTAGGTTCATTTTGTATGACAACATTGAGATCTCAAGTCTCCCTTTAGAATTCCTTTCTTTTTTCATTGCGTCTCTTTAAGACTAAAACATTTTCTCCATCAAATCCAAAAACACTTAACAATGTTCAAAACTCTTTTCAAAACTAAAGGTGTAAATTGTTGGTGTAAGCCCTAGATGCCAATACTTTTGGTACTTGTATCGAATTATTTAATAATAATAAAAGATATATCTTTATTATATTTTCTTTTTCAAAATAGTAAAGTCCCTAGTATAGTTCGTTTGTTTAATAAAATGTTAAGTGTGACTTAATCATAAGATCTCATTAAACATAAGGACAATATTCTTAAAGTGTCTGTAGTCGAGCTTTATCGCGAAGTAGGATAACATTAAAGCATCGAGATTATTATGTAGATAGAGAGATGATCACATCTGATGGATCATGGATAAAGAGTTATCAAGTATTGACATAGGTGTGAATATTAGGAGTAATATTTATACTGGATTGACCCACTATGAGAATACTACATAGAATGTTATGAAAAGTGTCATAAGTTATTCTCATGATGATAATGGTGTATACCACTCTTAGACTTGAAACCACTATGTTCGTGTGGACTGAGTAGAGGTATTATTCATCATCAACACTCGTGATCACAATATTAAAGGCCCGAATCGCCACAAGAAGTAATAGTTTCTATCACTGACCATGCCCATTCTTAGTGATCACTAAAGGAAAATTTTAATTTCCGTTGTATTTTGAATCACGATTTTCCTTCATAAAGGTGATGAGTGCCTCCTTGGACGAGGGTTCACTTATTATCTATCTCCTAACAAAAACACAAACCAAATCCAAATCATTTTGCTACTTGGCTTTTCTCCTTAAAACCTTTTCAAAAAGGACATGTTAGCTCCGTTCTACCGCAAACAGACAAGCTCTAACTGCTAGAATGCGAACTTAACGTCATTCATAAAAAACACACAACAAACAAACATTTTTAAGAAGAACTACGATGTTTTGATTTCCTTGTGGATACGTAGGCATATGGTTGCAAAGCTCAGACGAACACACTAATAAAAATCTTTACTATTTCCTAATGAATTTATGCATACATTACCTTTAGCAAGTAAGTTTTAGATATACATACCTATTGATTAGAATAACAAGAGTGGACTTTGTGGAGTACCACAGACGTGAGGGGTGCTAATACATTTCCCTTGTGTAATCGACTCCTATACCCTTTCTCTTAGTTGCGAGACCATATTATTTTCACCACTTTTGAGGTTTTCTCTATATTTTTCTTTCCATATTTCCGGGATAAATAAAGTTAGGTGGCGACTCTGTTTGTTTTAGGAAGCTTTTGTGTGTATTATTTTTCACGTAGCTTTGTTAGTGCGCTAACACTTTCATAACCATCTTCATCCAAGAAAATTGCAATTTGAACAAAATCCCCTTAATCTCTCTCTCGGGATAATCCTTCTAAGTGTCCAGTTTCGTGGCAAGTGAAACATTAAAACTTTGATTTATCAAAAACTTTGGACTTAAGATTTTAATCTAGATATTTTTCTTTTATGGTTTCCCCTATTATCATTCCTTCATCTGAATATGCTTAAGCCTTCACCTTTGTCGTCAACCTTTAAATCTTTCAAATTTGATAACTTTTTTGATCTTACAGTCGACTTCATCCAAAGTGATAATATATTCCTTACCACATAGAAGGATATCCTTGAAGTAGTAAATCCTTATCATCATCACCAATATTCATCTTGATATTTTGCAAATCATCAATGATCTTGTGAAATTTTTTTCCTACTGCTCTATAATAGATTTATTCACCACCATATGAAAAGAATAAAATTATTGTTTCGAGCATAATTTATGATCCAATGACTTGGTCATAGAAGATGATTCAAGCTTAAGTCACATCTCAATCGCGACCTTCTCCATCACAACTTCCCTTAATACTTATCTATGAGGCACAAGATAATAACACTTTTGGCTCAATCCACTATATTTCTCTTCTAAGCTCGTGTTAGACTTGCAGACATTAATGCCTCTCCAATGCTTCTACACACCTTTGTTGAATTAATATTGCTTTCAACAATCTTAAGTCGTTGTTTCCAAAAAACTTCTTGATGTCCCATTTAGAATCCATGCTGCTTACTTGTAAACTTAATCCCTTTGTCGCACAGCGGGTGCCACATATTGATGGAAAACTAATAATAATTCAAAGTTCAAACACACTAAGACTTAAATGTGTGGGACGAAAAACAATGACAACCAACCAAATGGCTTCTATGCAATAAAAATATAAAGGCGAGAACACATAGAAAAATATTTACCTAGTTCGATGAAACCGAACTATGTCTGGGGGAGAGAGTATCTCTCTAATTTACTATATTTCAATTGTTACAAGAGATTACAATATGAGTTACAAGAAAATTGTTTCTCAATCTCTCCAACTCTCAATATAAAAATCATACAAACCCAAGATGTTTAAAGTGTTTCCCAAATCCCTTTGATAACCTTAGAGGACACTCAAACCCCAAGAATATAATCCTAGGAATTTCTTCCGTCTGCTTCTCACTTGGATTGCTACCTTATACACTACTTGTTACCAACAAATGAGATATGGTTTTATTTTTAACTGCCAAAACCTTAACGAGCCTAAGATTTTACCCTATAACAAGCAGATCAACAAAAAGTTTGAGACTCACATGCATTACCAGCACCACCTAACTTTCAAACCGCCATTGTCGATCGTTAACCCGATGACTATCGGCCTCAACAGCCATCGTCACTGCTGCGGACGATCAAACTTAGTCAAGTCAAAACCATAAAAGACTAGACTCTGTAGAATCACCGATAGATCTCCACTACATACGACCCTTCATCGTTGCGCCACCATCTCACCGTTAACCGACTCTTTAGTCCAATGCGTCGCCATATGTCGGCCTCTTATTTCACCGCCTCTATCCCATTAGAAAAAGCAGACATGAAAAATTTTTTTTCTCTCTTTTTGAAGTTTTAAGACACATCATAATATTAATATTAAATTACTTAAATATATTTTTTCTCTGATTTTATATATTTTTCGTTCATTATTTTCAAACTCCAAATATATTTTTAGTCATCTTGATTTTATATATTTTTCATTTATTATTTAACGGTCTTTCTCTAATTTTATTTTAAATTTTATTTTTACATGATATATTACATAATTTTTCTTTATTAAAAACAAAATATACATAAAGTCAAATAAGAATGCTGATTATAAATTCACCTGCACAAGTTTAATTTAAAAAGTCACATTTTTTTATATATTAATTTAGTGTCATATTAATAAATAATACAATATCATCATAAATTTAAGGATCATAAATTGTTAAAAATATTCCAAAAAAATTGATTCACCAATGGTATCGAACCATATAACCCTTGAATATAAAGCGTGCGGTCTACCATGTGAGCAACGTCTTACATTATGTATGTCTACTTCTTATCATTTAATTATAATTTGATAGGAGTACGAATGCTTAGTATATGTTTAGGTTCGCATCTTCACTCTCCAGTCGACAACCAAAAAAAGAGTGCGGGTTTCGAACTTTTCCCGCCAAACCATAGCAATGGAGAGAGTCCAATCCTCCTACGAATCTCAGGTTCAGTGCTTCCCCTCTCTCTCACCGTGTTTGTGCTGTTAACTCTGAAGATATGCTAATTCGATTTCGTTGCAGGATGAACCGTTCGAAATTGGGAAAGAGATGTATCGTGGACAGCAGTACAGTCAAATTTACTACGCTCGTCTTCGATTGATGCGAACTCTCTTGTATTCCCTTGTTTCCCAATGGAAACCTAATTCTCCTGGTTTGCATTTTACCCTTTCCTTCATATTTTTTCAACTTAGGGTTTTGCTTTAAATCTATCGTGCCTTTTTAATCTGATTGTTTTTTTATGTTTGATTACTTGAAATTTTGTGGTGATTTGGACAGTGTGCACGGTGTTGGGACTTGAAGAGGGCAAAGAGTGTGTTGTAGTTGGGACACTGTTCAAAAACATGAAATTGAAACCTTGCATACTTGATGAGTATTCTAAAGAGGTAATGCTATTCTGGGTTTCTTTTTTTTTTTTTTTTTGTTGGAGGGTGTGGTTGTTGTTTTTATGTAAATTTTGTTTTTTTAGGGTTGTTAAGTAGCGGTTATAATGTTGTGGGATTTGAACAAATCACGGCTGTTCTGTGATACATTGCTGCTGTAGTACTTTTTGTAGTAAGATTTGAACAAATGGCTATTTTTTGTGATTGATAATACTATGTTTTGTAAGAAAAAAAATGACAATGATATGGCACAGTGCTGAGTTTCTTTGCTAATGATGTGCAGAGATCAGTTGTCCCGCTTGTCAAGCCGCATAACTTCGTGGACGACGATGATTATCTTGTTTTGGAAGATGAAAGTGGAAGAGTTAAGCTTGGTGGGAATATTATTGTGCCATCTGTTTATGTAACAGGTTTGTTTTATTAACTACTTAATTGAGCAACTGGGATTTCATGGTAGGATGATATTTTTGAAACACGGGTACAAACTGGACATTTATTTCCAGACAATATTAGGTTTGGTATATGTCATTTCTTGACTTTTTCCTTCTTTTTGTCCCGCAAGGAATTTTTGTGGTACAAATAATATTTGATTGCTAATTTGCTATGCTTTTTGTTTTGTTTCATATTTTTCTATGTGATCTTGAAATTAAACACATGGCTTCTTAATGTTATTTGTTATTTTAGAGATGCAACTTACCTGCCAAACAAATAATTCGATCTTGCACAAGATGATTTTGTGCTAACATTGTCTGTCACAGGAATTGTGGTTGCTATACATGGTAAGGAGACTGGAGCCGGTGATTTTTTGGTTCAGGAAGTTCTAGAAGCTGGCTTACCCCCGCAGATAGAATTCCCCATTAAATCAAGTATATATTCTCAGTCTTTTACATATACAATGCTTTTAACATAGTGGTAAACAAGCCTAACATATTATGATTCAAATATTTTTGATTTTCTCACTATCCTGTGCAAAGTGTGGTTTGCGTTGTATATTTAATATTCTCTCAGAAGGAGTTGGGTTGTTTTAGAATTTTATGATTCATAGTCAGCACACATAGATTCTCTCCTGCTTTGCTTCTTCAGTTAAAAGAAACTAGTTTCCTAGTTTTTCTTTATATTGTCAAATATTGGAATGTTATCTCTAGTAATAATTAAAATTAGTTGCTTGCTGTATGTTTCCATTTTCTCTCGCTTCTTTTAACATTTCAGTCATCAGTAACAGTCTTTCCGTTTTGTTCTTTTGACTGTCTATTTTTTATACTCAATTCTTCAACCTATGGTTTTAAAATTGTCGCTTAAAATTTCCTTTTTATTTTGATTGAGCAGGGGAAGACAGATATGTTCTTCTTGTGTCGGGATTAAGTATTGGCAGCAGCAAGTCTAACCCTCTTCAATTTCAGCTTCTAGTTGATCATATTACTGGGCATTTAGGAGATGAGAAGGTTTATTCTGTTTTTCTTCCAAAGTTCTGGAGCTGATAATTATGCAACATTTAAAGGTTTTAACTTGTCAATATTGACAAAATAAACAGGAGCAAAGTATTGCTTCGCAAATTGTTCATGTAGTCATTGCTGGGAATTCTGTTGAGATACCTCGTGGACTTCTTAATGGACAGGTATTATTGTTATTGTTGAAGTAAACCTCTGTCTGTGTTAGTTACTACATACTAGCAGTGTATAGTGTACCCTAAGGTTTATATTTAAAATAGCGGGAAGAATAGTACAAATGTCTGCAGTATAACACTTAAGAATTATGTACATATAAAAATATGATGAAAAGACTAATAACTAATACATGCTAAAATCTAAACTAGTTCCCCTGTTGATTTTTCTAATGATATTTTAATCTCTATTTTTTTGGTTTATGTTTTGACTTTTTTCCCTTGAAAAGTTCAAACAATTTTCTCTAAGTCTGTGCCTTTGATGCTTTATATGATAAGAGACTAATAACTACTCCTATACTGATATCTACAATAGTTCCACTGTTTTGTGTTTTCTAATGATTAAACATTTGTGCTGTTTTTTGTTTGTTTATTTTTTGATTTATTTTTCCTTAAAAAGCAAACAATTTTGGTAATCGAAGTCTGTGCCTCTGATGCTTTATATTTCTATTCCCATAGTACTCCCTCCGTTCCTTTATAATTGTCATTTTTGTGAAAAAAATTTGTTTCTATTTAATTGTCGTTTTCAAATTTCAATGTAGTACTCATTATAGTTTTGTCAAAATTACCCCTAAATATTTATTATGAGGGAGAAAAAAGTATATTGAAATGATTAAAAGTTAAGGGTATTATAGGCAAAAGAAAAATCAGTCTAAAAAGTAACAACCATTATTAGTTTTCTTGGTATGTGTAAAATATCAAAATGTGACAATTAAAAAGAAACGGAGGGAGTACCTTTGTTATTTTCCCCATAAAGTACTGATGTTTCAGGTATTCAAAAATTGATCACAACACATACTCTTGCCATATTGTAACATCACTAATTAACTTCGGTATCCAAGTTTCTTGATTTCGGCCACTTTCTCTTTTGTGATTGATTGCCTTAACAAAGAACATTTATAAAGGTATAGCAATTAAACACATATTTTGATTGTGCTGTCTTGATATCCGGATGTTTACAGCACCCATTCACGTTTAGACCTTTCAATTTACTATGTAGTGCAATGGCCCCGTTCATAGAGAAACATTTTTTTGCAATTCAATTTTTTTATATACTTATCTAAGAGGGGATTAATGAACTTTTTCATCAATGTTTACAGAATTTGGCTTCAAAAGATCTCTCGAAGATGGCAGAACCAGTAAAGGAACTAGATATTCTGTTGAATCAGGTTCATTTCATTTGTTTGATTCCTCTACTGTAGTTGTTTTCTAAATAATAGGCTTAACTTATACTTGTACTCAGATTGCTGCGGGTTTGCCATTGGATATCATGCCAGGACCCTGTGACCCTGCTAATTTCTCATTACCACAACAGGTTCTTATGTGTGTCCTTTAAGAGTATTTATGCCATTTGTAACATGATTTTTGAAATTTACTACTAAGAATTGTACTTTCAGGCATTGCATAGATGCCTTTTCCCCGGGTCATCAGTTTACAACACTTTTAGATCTTGTACAAATCCTCATTGTTTTGAGCTTGATGGTATCAGGTAAATTAGGCTGTTTATAATATTACTCCCATTACTTCTGAATGTACCATACTGTTATACATTAAGCATGATCCATATTGCTTCCTTCCAGGTTTCTCGGGACATCCGGTCAAAATGTAGATGATCTTGATAAGTATTCAGAGGCAAAAGATAAGCTTGACTTCATGGAAAGGACATTACGGTGGAGGCATTTGGCACCAACTGCACCTAATACCCTTGGTATTGCATTATATATGCTTCCATTCTTAACTTATATTTGCTTGGTTATCTGTAACTTGCCATTTTCCACTCAGCTCAGAAATTTTTTGGAATGGTTTAACCATTGTCATTGTCTGTTGTATATTACCTGCTGCTTCTAAAGAAATATAAACTAAAGAGTTAAATCAAACTGTCATTGTTTTTGTTCAAAAAGATTGTTCTGATATTAATTGTTGTCTTCAGGTTGCTACCCTTATACTGATAGGGATCCTTTCTTCATTCAAAATTGTCCACATGTGTACTTTGTTGGCAATCAGGAAAAATATGATACTCGTGTGATAAAGGGTATTTTTATTCTTAAATCCACATTGCAGAAGAAAAAAAACATATTACTCTTTCCGTTTTGCATTTTATATAACTCCCCTACTCTCAATACTAATTCATTTTACGCACTGATTGCAGGATCAGAAGGCCAATCGGTTAGACTCATATGTGTTCCTAAATTCAGTGAAAATGGAGTTGCTGTTATGGTGAGCTCCAAAAATTCATAAATGTTCTCTTAAAACTGGTCTTTTATGCTAAAATTACCCTGCCGGCACTTCAACATCATCTCATTCATAGAGTCTCACCTTTGACATTTCTTTCTAGTCAATTCAGAACTATGTTTTGATAAATGACCTGCTACCTGAAAGTAATCTATTTTGCTGCTTTTCTCCCTTCTATTATCTAATGAAGCAGTTTCAAAGTTCAATTAAAAAATGCATGTTAACAATTTATATAATAACTGTGATTTAGACTTGTGTAAAAGGTTTTCTCTCAGGAGAATCATGAAAAACTTGAAAAACTTGAGAAGTATTACCTCAAGGGTTATGTTCTTTTGCTTTGCTGATAGAGTTAAGATTGACGAACTGGACACAGTAAATTTGGTTTTTAGACTGTCTATTCTTTCACCTATATAACTGGAAGGGGAGATTTGTTGCTGAGGTTCCCCCTGTTGTAATAATGACAGACATCGTTTCCTGTTGGATTAAAGGTTATGATACTTATTAGTGAATCAAGTAATAAGACTCTGGTGCAACATTTTGAACTTGTCATTAGTATGTGATGATCTTCATCAACCTTATCGTTTATCCCTATTCTACATGGTTGGCTATTACAATTCCCAACTGAGGAAGGATTTTTTTTTTTTGCTTAACGGTTGGCTGTGACATGATAGGTTTATCTGATGTGTTTCTTGTTGCAAATTTAAAGAAATGTAAATATTTCTCTTTTTGCAGTTGAATCTGAGGGATCTTGAATGTCACACTCTCAGTTTTGGAACTCAGTTCAGCCCATAACACCAGAATGAAGTTTTTGTGGTAAATGTCCGAACTTATACATTTTACCAGTTAGAAATGCTGCGGCTTCTAATAGATACATATACAATCTATTTTTCTTAAATGGTTTTGATATGTTATTGGCTTCAAGTTCAAAATGTAAAAGGTTTCTTAAAACATTTGAGGCGTGATGATGATGTTATTGTAGTAAATGTACAAAGCAGTGGCATAAAGTTTATAATTTTACTAGCTTTCTTCAGTAATAATTGAAGCTAAAGTTAATCTAAAATCGCGAGATTCTAAATGCCTGTGTTATATTCCTGCTAGGGCAGATAGTAGGATTTTCTTGACAAACTGTCTTCCGTTTACATCCCAGCAATGACAATTGATAGAAAATTTTCTTTTTTCTTATTATTAAATACAGGTTACAGAAAGTTTGTTTATTGTGCTTCCATCTGCGTGTCTTTGGAGACAACGCGAAGTACTGAAAATTGAATCTTGAAGTTGACAAGGGCTGCTGTGTTTCTTTACTGTAATTTATTTTTGTACTAACCTATTATTTCAACCTTAGTAAGTTAAGACCTAACATTGACTTGAATTTGTATTTTACTATTTAGTTTTCACTGTATCGTAATTGTGTATTAAATCTGTGCATCATAGCATTGTGCAATGTCATTGGTTTTGGTGTAAATTATGTCAAGATAATCCTTGGTTACTAAACATTAATCTCATAATATGTGTTAACAAATCATTTAAAAATTAAAATAAAGTAGTTACTTCACATTTTCGTAACCGGAACGTGACATTGCCTAATGTCATCAGACTTGTACAATATCTGTTTGCTTTATACCCTAGGAAACTACCATGACATGAACCCAACTTTTACAGCTCCTTTTAGCTTAAGACTATTGTTCATTAACATTAGTATAACCATTGTTATTAGATTAAGAGTGTGTTTTAGATATTTTTTATTGAATTTATTGAGAAGAAAATAAATTTAAGTAATTTTTACTCCCTCTGTTTTAAAATGACTGTCGTTTTAACAAATAAATTTTATTTCAAAATAATTATTATTTTCACTTTTCAATATAGTAATGATTACTATTTTTCTGATTGTGTCATTTACTTTTTATTCTTTACACTATTTCTAATATATTAATAAGATTAATTTTGTAAAAGTATAATATTTTATGACAATGTTACTGTATTAGTTAATTTGTGTACAAAAACTTTAAACATATTGTCATTTTAAAATGGAGAGAGTTTCTCAATTTGTTTTAAACAAGTTTAATCTAAATATCTTTTTACCTAATTAAAACGCTGAAAAAAGTGTGTCAGAAATACACACTGAATCAAAGGAGAACGTTATTGCAGGTCTTGTCCACTCGTTATTATTGTAAAGTCTCTCAGAAAATTCACATGCCATGCCACCTATAAAGAACACCAATAATACAGCCTAAAAAATTCTAAAAATTAAGCTCTTTACAACAAGATCCCAACCCAACGGCTATATTTCCATTATTGAATTTCAATAATAATCATTTCCCATACAACGGTCCATCTCTCCTCATAAAACCATAAAATCTTATTAACATTTTTCTCACTTTTTCATTTTCATTAATTAATATTTTGCTTACTCTGTTCCAATGGAAACTATTATTACTGTTACATCTATCTCTCCCACTGCTACTACTCTTACCACCACCACCGATTCTAAGGTTCAACGAGTAACCAAGAAATCTTCCGATGAGCTACTAAGAAAATTCGCTGAAGTAGGTACCAACGACAAGAAAGAGCTGCGTATTATCAAACGCAGGAAGAAGATGAAGGAGAATCATTCCGAGGGCCAGAGCCCTTCAAAAGCCGGCACCTCCGTTGCCGAAAGGAGGTCACTGTTGCCGCCAACCGTGAGCCGGAGGTCGGTGTTGCTCCGGCAGCTTAGGGTTAGAGATAACAGAAACAAGTCATCATCAATCTTGGGAACTATTCAGAAAGTGACAACCTAACAAACACTTTTTCATGTTATTAATGTTTTTTGTTTCACTCAAACATTCTTAATTTGTGTTTTTTTTTTGCAGACATGGCGTAGAACTGTTGAAGGTGCTTCTAGGGTTTTCATGGAAAAACACTATCATCGTCATAAGCGTTTGATCAATGATGTTGTTTGAAAAATTACAAGCTACGCAAATTCTAATCAGATGAAAGCAAGGCTCACCTTATGTATATTTAACTGTTTGTTCAATTCAGTTGTTATGTTTTTTTTCTTCTTTTCTTTCCACTAATTGTATTCTTTTTGACTTCAAGTATTAATTAAAGTTGTATTCTTTTAAAACTCTGTTTGCTTACAAATTGGTACAAATCGTAAACAGGAAAAGTGTATGTTAACCATAGCAGTTATTCATTTGAGCTTTTTTGTTTTGAATATACATAAGAGGAGTTACTTATAGGATGAGAAAAGTGTTGGTTCAAGGGTGAATTTTGGAAATTTCCGAAAAGTATTCTTATTAAAATAAGTATAGCGTGAAATATTAAAATATCTTTTAAAAATTGATTTTATTATAAATCTTTTATGAGTGTCTATTTTTCTCAATGAGTTCACCTACATTCATTAGATTGTTTTTCATTTAAGAAACATACCAAACTTCTTTTATTAGAATGGTTTTTCCATTCCTCATTCTATGAAAAGAGAATGTGTTAGCATCATTTTCATCCGTAGTTATTTACGGGCTCTTAATCACTTAACTCAATTTGAAAATTTGTTTTTTTTTGTGTGTTTTTGAAAATATTTTGAAATGTCAATGTAACGCTGACTTTGTAATAATTATAGTATTGGTCCTCAAGAATGTACACAAAATTTTTTAAAAATATTTTGTTTGAAAAGTGTGATGTGAAAAATGTTTTTTTCCGTCCTGTCTTATACAAAATTTCGTCCTGAACTCAAATATGTACTCAAAACAAGAAAAAGGTTAGTGTATCATGATATTCGAACGCAAACTCCGATTATGCCCTAACAATGGCATCTCACGATCCATACCTCCATTCTTTCAAACCATTGCCTAGATTTGTTCCTTACAATCATTAGAACACAAATCAAATGCTACTAGGTATTGAAAATGCTTAGGATAAAAGTTTCAAGTTTGACTTTTATACCTCAACCAATGATGAAGATATGACTGTTTTGGACATGGAATTGCTTAGAAAATGACTTGGATCAACTCCTTTGATCCTCAGGGAGCGATTGCTGGCTTTGGTTTGGACTGAAACTGCTTGAAACTTGGAATCTGATTGCACATTTTTTCTTGAATTTTTGTGATTTCTCGAGACTTTCTTTGGAGACATCAAACCGTGTTCTTTAGGTCTGCATGTGTTGGGTTTATATAGAAGGAGAAATAGGTTAACAAACATGGAAATGATCTTATGCAATCATGGCCAAATCAATCAAGAATAAAACATGTTTTTTCAAGTTTCCATATTTGGAGATTCTTGCCCTATTAGACCTCACACAATTTTGGCAGGTTGGATATGTGATCTTGGGCCTCAATTCTGATTCAAAACAAAAGCCTTGTGCCTTAATCCATTAATCTTGTATTTTATTTTATTTTTGAATTTAAATGAATAAAATTCAAATAAAAGAAATAAAAATCATAAAAAATACGTGAGTATATTTGGAGGTCCTCTAACACGTTATAAACATGTTTAAATCTCAAAAGTTAGGCCTATTAGTCTAAAAGTCCAAAATTATTCAATTGTGGTTTCATACATTTTCTCAAAATTACTCAACTTGAACCAATAATAACTCTCTCAATTCTTATCACATGAAGTTGATTTTTGATTTTTTGGAAAGCTTAATATGTCCCCTATAATATCTATGTTGATCATTTTTTCATTTGAAGACTTTATCTTGATGTAAATTGCTTTGACAAAAAGTGTCTTTTTGTTGACTTTTGAAATGACCTATAATGTTTTGGCCCATGTCTCTCAAATGAAGTATTTTTTGACTTGAGCTTAGAGAGAGAAAGTTGTATATAATTGAATTTCCTTCAACATGAGCTTTGTTTGAGAAAAAATTGATGAATCATGTTGTGATACGGTGGGAGAACTGACTTGAGGTTTTGCGTTTGTGTTCGCAAATGTTTCGGTTTAGCAAGAGTCGCCACCGACTTTTTATTTTATCCTAAGGAAAGGTCAAAAAGCACAGGAAATACCTTTGAGATGTTTTCTTGGGTTCAGGGAGTAGATTATGAAAAGGGAAGGTGCAAGCACCCTTTTCATCCATGGTTATCCATGGGCTCTTAGTTACTTGTTTAGATCACTTGCTTTTGCTTTTCAATTTGTTTGAAATGGTGCTTTGTGTGTGTGGTTTTTGAAAATGCTTTTGAAAAAGAGGCCATCATTGTGGCAACCTTTGTAATGATTCTTGTTTGAATATATACAAATGTGTTTGTCTTTTGAAAAGATATTTCAATGTTTGAAAGTTTTTTTTTGGGAAGTGTTTTGTGTTGTAAAGTGTGTTAGAAAATAGCAAGGATGTTTTGCAAGTTTTGATAAAGTAACTAAGAGTTGTCTACCCTATTTTACTCAAAGATCTTTCCTATACATTTTAACCCTTTTGACAGTGTTGTTTTACCATTACATTTGGTAAACAACCTTGTATTAGGATGTTAAACGGGACAGGCATGGGTCATCGTATTGACTATGATAGCAATTGTGCTAAGTATCTTTAGCAAATTTTTGAGGGACTAAATCATTTTGTTTAGGCAACCAAGATAGCGTCATCGAGGGACTATGATCTTTTGCTTTGCCAAGATACCTAGCATACATATCATGGCCATTTGTTTAGGTAACCAAGTGGAGATACCTTAAGGGTGTTTGTGTGCAAGTGTGTTTTATTGCATGCATGATTTTATCTTGAATTAAGATTTTCTATTTCATTGATTTTATCTTGCCATACATATCCTAATTACTAGCATTTACATTTGAAAGCAATAAAAATGCGGAAATGTAAAATCCTACGCTATTACAATATTTAGGGGGCGGGGGATACACACTTGTACATGGGGTGGTTCAACGAGAAAAATAGTCAGGAAAAGAAAATAACAAGGGGAAGAAAAAGAGAAAGAGAGAGAGGGCTAGCGCGCTGCTGAGAGGAAGTCAGAAGTTCTGACCCAGGCCTGTTGCAGGATATCAACCTGTTAGTGAAAATGTATGAGTCAGAACTTCTGACTCTGGTGCCCTACAAAACAAAAACCTGTTAGTGGGAAGGTCAGAAGTTCTGACTCCCATGCGCTGCAAGACAGAAATTTGTTAGTGGGGAAGTCAGAAGTTCTGAACCTGCTGGAAACACAATAATTTTCAGAAGCTCTGATATTATTGATGGCAAAACAGGCCTCAGAAGTGCTGGCGTCAAAGTCAGAGCTTGGTTTCCCCCTGTGCTATCCAGGACATCTGCAATTTTATTATTTTTCCACAAAACAGAAGGCATGCCTAGGACAGTCTCAGCAAGTGTCAAAGTGTTTCAAAAGACAGAACCAAAAAAGGTCACAAGCAGGTTCTACACTGATTCACTTCCTACTTAAGCATTCAGAGGCATGAAAATCCTTAAAACACATACAACAACAACATGATATCTACATTGTGTTTATTGAGCATGCAAAGCTGATGATGCTTAGCAGCGTGATGAGAGTCAGCCAGTTCTTACCTTGCAGTTGGAAGAAAATCTGTGAGTTGGAGCTAGCTTTAGCTCTAATGGTGTTCTGGACAAGTTCTTTTTTAGAATGGGTGGATGGAGAAGATATATGTATGTGTATGGTCAGAAACTGTATGGACGTTCTCTAGTCAGGAAGCAAATTGGGTATCAATGAAGTTTGGAAGCAGGAAATTCAAAGTTATGAAACACTGAGAATTTTGGCAGAGTTCCACAATGTTTTCTTGCTAGAGTTTTATGTTTTTCTTCTAGCAATTTTTTCAGGATTTCTTTTCACCACCTTTGTAATGGACAATGGTGTCCTATTTATAGGCAAGGCTTTGTGAATTTTTAAACGTTAAATGGCGCCAATACTATGCAATAGGGGTTAACTTGTTCTTGAAGGAGGTTCATGAAAAGTTGTGATGATGGACAGCTTTTCAGCCTAGGTTGGAACAGTAAGCGAGGATTAAGGGGAAGTGACACCCATAGGCGAAAAGTGGCGCATAGATCCATGCCTAAGCCTGCACGAGGGTGTTACCATGCCACACGTGGAGAGACCCCCTTGGATGAATGCTCAAAAGTGGTTGTGAGTATTAATGAGCATTAAATGGTGATGAGATTTGTCAAAAAATCAGAAATCTTATAATAGGAGATTTTGCATCATTACCTAAAACCTGAGCCAGCAGTTCTGCTTCACCAAAAACAACGTAAACCAAGCTCTGACCTTGGCCTCTTGCTGCCTCAGCAAATTCTGAGAGTTTTCCAGACTTTCCACTATGCTCCTTTGATCTGCCTCTGAAAACTCTGGACTTAGTGATTCTGCTTCAGTATTTTACCCAATCTGCTGATCCCATTACCTTTTGATCCCAGTACATCCCGAGGGAGTTTCAGGCTTTGTTGCCTTCTTTGCATTTTTCTAGCAAACTCTGGCTGAACTTGCGTAACTGCTGAAAGAGCCATGTTCTGTTTAAAGATCACGTGCTGAACCACGTTTACAATCCCTGACTGAGTTGGTGTAACTGCTGAAGAGCCGCCTTCTGACTGAATGTTATGTGCTGAGCCAAGTTTGCAACTTCTGACGGTTTCTGCCTGGAAGTTGGTTCAGAAGCTCTGAAGTGCCATTTTTCTCTTAAACACTTTTCTTCTTTTTTTTTAGAAAAAATTCTAAGTATTTAGAATTTAACTTTTCCAAGGTAAATTTTTTGACCTTTGAGCTTGCAAATGACCATTTTTCTCTTGTAAATGGTTTACTTGGAAAGGAATGATAATTAAGGGCTTGGATTTGTTTAAGAGAAAATCTGAGAATTCAGGATGAATTTCTGAAGGATGAGAGGGCAAATTTTGGGGTACAACAGCTGCCCCTGTTCAATCTCTTTAAACCTGAAGAGTTAGATTGGCGAGTTTGCCTTTCGTGACTCGAATGTAAAAGAGGATTGGACACTAGAGTGCCCGTAAATTTGCGCTCGTCAGAGTATAGTTTAG